TCTGGGGACTTTACTGAGGGAAATAAAATGGAAATTGAATTGTATGTCTGCACGATTGCCACCAGATGGTGCAAATTTTCATACACAGTAAATGCAGGAAAAAAGAAGAAAGCATCTTATAGGTGAGTAGCCAGATTCATGTAAATGACTCCAAGTAGAAGCAAACATGTGGCTATCCCAAGAAAACCAACCAATGAAGCCAAACAGGTTTGCAGGCAGCAGAGTCTAATGGCATCCATTCTGACATATTCTATGCTAAAGTTAAGCAGCTCAGTTTGGCTCAAAATGGCTGAATGATCAACCACTGAGAAACAACACTGAGAGCTGAATCATTGATGGACCATGAAATACAAAAGACTGAGTCTTGTATTAAAATACCATAGAGGGAAGAGATCCTGAGTTAAGTGTTGCATGAGACCGTGAGGTTGCTACTGGAAACTCTTCTGTTTTGAGCTGTAATAACAGAGTTAATAAGGTGTCATGTTCACTGTCTGGTTTTTGGTTTGTTGTTGTTTTTTCCTTAATGCTGCAGACCTGCTAACTTTCACACATTCCTTATGAGACTCACTCAGTCCGGGTTGAGTCTGAAGTCTTTTTTTTTTTTTTTTTTTTAAAGTTTCCTCTCTTGTGAGGAAGGATTTTATGATTTGTTTTGACAAGACATTTATTATCTCAGATTGCTCATTTAAATGATCGCAGCTTGAGAGTCCTGATAATGCATGAAGGAATTGTGCTTCACTTATACATATTTCAGCAGCTCACAATAAATGTAGGTTTCAAGTAAGTAGAAGCACCTGGCTGGTGATATTAAATTGTTGTGCATAAAGATGAAAGTATGGTCTCTACTATTTTTTGTCTTCCATAAGTAAACCTGTAATGTCACTTCTGGATTGCAAATGCCTTGGTTCACAGCAGGAACTCCAATTTACCCAGTGTCAATACCTTTGTTATTGCAGTTATGAAATGAACCTCGGTTATTTCCAGAGACAAATGTGGCTTTTGAATTCTGATGAAGGTTCTCTCTTGTGTTGGAGACTATGACTTTGAAAATGTACTGTCCACACTGCATAGTTCGCAGAAGTCCCCTTTCATATGCTAATAAGACTTTGACAGCAAGAGGAGTTCAGTCTCATCAAAGTTTTTTCTCTGGTGATATTTCTTCCCCTTGAAAGTAAACACAGACTCAGGAGCTAGTATTCTACCTTAGAAAAGCACCAGTTATTGCAACCGCATCAGACCTTTGGTTTCCAGGAGGACACATGGCAGCCTACCATGTATTTTATGTGGTCATCCTAATTGTTTAAATAAAAAATTGTTTTAAATGCCAGCCAGTAAGTTGCAAATATATCTCTCACTTTCTACATCTACTGTATTTACGCTGTACTGAATTAAAGCAGCAAATGGCAAGAAATACTAGAAAGATTTAGGCAATCTGGAGGGGAGTCAGAAAACAGCAACAAAAAACATGAAGGGGCTGATCTAACTTACAGGGAAAGATTAAATTTACATTAGGAACGTTTTTGAAAATTTGCACCAGTGAGGTATTTATACCTGTGCAAATTTCTCTAATGTCTCCAGACCTAAATATTTATAGCCTGATTAAATAAAAACTAATGAGGCAATACAAGAACTTTTTATTAGTATTTGAAGGATATGAACACCAAGGAGGAGTAGAATTGTTTTGGGTCTAGTGAGCTGTAAGTAGGAGTAACGGGATAAAACAAGGAAAAGGTAAATACAGGCTGAAAAGTTTTGTAACAGTGAGCTCACTAAAGATTTCCTTTTCCCAGGGAAGGTGGTGGAATCCCTATGATCTGACACATATAATGCTGACAAAGTACCATTTATCTGTCTCAGGTATTTCTAAAATTGCCTATTGCTAGGGTATCTTATGTGCTGAGACTAGGCATTAAGGAATAGAACTGTCTGAATAATTCCAAAATTAATAGATGAATATTTACACAGATAAAAGGGGTGGGTTCAGTTCATTGGGATTGTATTATTGTTTTTGAGTATCTGGATGGCTAATGGATATTTGTGAAAATTAACAAATCCTAAACAGTGTCAAAAATTTTAGCATGAATGATCACTCATTTAAACATTCATACTAGGTGTGTTACTTATTATTCTTTGTTTCCCATCATTTACCATTTGTTTTTCTGTTTAATAAGTTTCAGTCATCGAAACAGGGAGCAGAAATACTCCTAAATGACCAGTAACAGACCATGAATAACAATAATCAAAGTAAAAGCAACCCCTAAGCAAAATGTGTGTGCATAAGTCATTCAATGAAAAATTATCCATAATAAATGTTAAGTGTTTTGGCTTTTATATGTATATATCACACACCACTATATGTTTATACTGGAAAAATCAAAGTCAAAGAAATGCACCTTGCACTTGGAGAGGAAGGTAGTGAGGTTTGGGATGATCCTTAGTTCTTGTGGGAGTTCATTCAGGCTTGGGTTGGTCCTCTACATTGTATTTCTCTTGTGGACTGTGACTTATATTGTAGCTTCACATGTAGTTCCCAAAATCTAAACAAGTTCCTACCCCCTTTTAAAATATGGCCTGCCTAGAAGTGTGGGGGTAAATTCCATTCAGTAGGAGAGTCCCAAATATTTATTAAATTTCAATCATGCAGAGTATTCAACAAGGACACAAGATCTGTGGGGAGGAGGTTATTTTTTATCTCATTTGTTTTTGGTACTGGGATAGACTGTCCCCTTTTCTTACTTGGCTGAGCACAGAGTAGGGGGTCCCACCCTATCCAGTTCACCCAGATCTTGAACCTGAAGACCTCTTTCAGAGCACAATTCCTGCTCTCCCAATATTCCCTGATGTGAGCAAATAGACTATGAGAGGACAGAACCTTGGTTCTACCCCTGCCTCACCTTACTCATTGGCTACAGTAGCTGGCCAGGTAGAAGAACTTTCTTCCTCGCTGACCATGGAGCAAGAGGGGAGTTAAGCAAGGAATTGTGACATAATTCAGTCTGGAGGCCAAGCAGTTATACATGCCCCCTGCCTAAAGACTCAAACTGGCCCACCCATATGACCCAATCAGCAATATGAAGATTCCAGCAATGAAAGATATCTTCCAAGAACTGTAATGAAAACCCTTGGTCACAGATGAACATTCCATTTGTGAGTGAAAGAAATGAATACCTCTTTTCTAATGCTCACCATTGCTTCTGTTAAGGGCTAATTCTTCGTAAAATGCATTAAATAATCTCAATTTAATTTTTTATTTTCAATTTAAATAACACTAAGCCAGGGCAAAACCAAAAGCCTGGATCCAAATCCACTGATCTTTGGATCTGATCAAAATCTGAATTTGGATCAAAGTTTTGCAAATGACTTCTATATATAGAATGGATCAGTCAACAAAATCCTAGATCTGAACATACCAGAACCTTGGACTCTTTAAAATCTGGATCCAAATTCTGCAGCTTAAGCCCACCTCTGATTTTTAAAAGTAAGTTATGTGGCTACAAACAGAGCTGATCATTTTTAAATCATGTTGTTTTTCTTGCTGTAGTTTAGAAACTGCACTGATTATATTTTACTACATTTCATTGTGATCCCCAAACTCACTTTAAATGAAGATTTTAGTTTAGAAATGATTTGGCTAATGCGCTCTCTCTCTCTCTCTCACTCACACCTTTTGAAAAGACTATGAAGGCCTTTCAAATGAACAACTGAAAACATTAGGCTTAGATGAGAATATATGCCCACTTGTGAAAGAGAATAGATGGACTGCAGACAGCCTACCAGTACATTGGTGCATCTACCATCAAAAAGCAGACCACACAATGATACCAACCTCTTAGTAATGTTTAATTGGAAGAGTAAGACTATATCAGTCATCCCATTGTTAACATGTTGGAGGTGTTAATTATCTAAAGAGCTGGTAGAGTGACAACTTCTGCTGAAGAGAGTTTTATACTGAAAGATCCTTTTTTCTCACTTCCCCTTGAAAATGTGCATGTAACCCCAATTAATGATTATTGAAGATCTGCATATGTATTGAAAAGCTAATGATACCTAGTGCTTTATATCTTCAAAGTACTTTACAAACATGAACTAATAAATCTTCAAAACAAACTTGGGAGGTAGCTTACGTAATATCATCTTATTTTAGCGAGGGAAACTAGCAGAGAGGTCAAATGATTTTCCCAAGCCAAAGAAAGAATTATAGTTTGGCAGTTCCTGGGTCCCAATCCCATGCTGAAAACACTAACTCATACCTTTGTCTATTTCCCTGACAGCTAATAAAATCCTGTCTATTATCAACTAACCATCTTAAGTTTCAGAGTAGTAGCCGTGTTAGTCTGTATCCACAAAAAGAATAGGAGTACTTGTGGCACTTTAGAGACTAACAAATTTATTGTAGCATAAGCTTTCATCGGCTACAGCTCACTTCATCAGATGCATGAACCGTCTGAAGTACTTTGGAGGGAACTATTATTGTATTTGAGTTTTTTCTGTTCATGTGATCTCTGTTGCCTGCTTTAGTGTTCTATTTTTGTTTCTTAAAATAGCATATGAAATATTTCTTTTTGTAAAGACAAACACTTTAATAAAGTTGACTTTGTATTAAAACAAAGCTGTATTTTCTTCTTCAGATGCAATGCTAAAAGTGATTTAGAATTAAGATATATGTTCGTTCACATGAATGTATCTAAACAGGGTTTCATAGCACTTCTAATACTGAACACCTAAATGGGTAAAAAGAAAAATGACAGTAGGTCATTGCCTTAGATCAAGTATAAAGCCAATTCCAATTTTAAAAAAATAAAAGCTTAAAATACCCCAAACAGTTCCATAATGTAACAAACTACCAAGCAAAACCTGACTACTTCTCCAATACATAAACTAAGCCTACATTTTATTTAAAAAAGTATATATGGCACTCTTGCCCTTTTATAGGGGGGCAATTTCCCAGAATTCCCACTCACCTGTTTTCCTATACCACTATCCCAAGCTTTAGCTTCCAGTTTAGGACTACATTTCCCATGATGACCTTTAGTCAAGCATCCTCCAATCAGCTACAAGCTGGGTCTTTAAATGAGGCTTCTATAGGGGGGAGGTTCCTCCTTTAAAAAGGAAGGAAGGTTGAATCAATTCCAATATATGAAAAAAAAGTTCTTTCTCCTTCTCTTCCCACAAATAGGTGAGTAAATACAGATCCATAGGTAATAAACATTGTAAAAAAACCTAACAGGGTTTAAAGTCTTATGGAAAAATATTATTATTTTGCATTTAGTGCTATAGTTGTGCATGGTGCTTTACAAGTGAATAAATAATCAAGGTCCCCTATCCTATGGAATTCATAATCTAAATTAGACCAGATCATAAAATGTCAGCATCTGGGATATAAGGAGTAAAAATGGAGTGGGGAATTCTGCTGTTAGGACAGCATATATTTTTAAACATGAATGAAAATCTACTTTCATATGGGTAAGTATAATATGTAAAGGTTATATGTTGTATTTTACCTGAGGATAATTGGTAATTACTTAAAGAAACCTTAATTCTAAATTAACTTTTTTGTGGGTGGGAGGATTTGTGTGCGCTAGCCATGTTCCCTCCCTTCCCCATTTGCCTTCATCCCTTTTAGCATAACAAGTCTCCAGTTTTTCAGCAGATCTGAGGCTTGGTTTCTATTAGAAAACTTGCATCGGTAGAATTAAATTGATTAGTAAAACCAGTGTGACCCCTAATATAGATGCACTTTAAGATTTTTCGTTTATGCTTAAGCCAATTTAATGTACTATAATAAGTTAGAACAGTTTAAGCATGTCTATGTTAGTGGTTTGCTGCTGGTGTAACTAGACTAGTTTTAAATTGGTTTTGTTACACTGGTGCACATTTTCTAATGTAGACAAATCATGAATATTCCAGGTGAGAAAAGTGGCTGATCAACCTTCTAAAAAAAGAGGAGAAAAACAAGTATAGTAATACATTTACATTTATACAGAGCTCCTTTCTCTCCAAAGTGCTGAACACACTATGAACATATAAATCCACTGAAATGCATCCACCTCCGGGTATAAGCGAGGTAGGGATCAGCATAATAATGGAGGAAAAATTTTGGCCAGGACACTGGAGCATGCTCCTACTCTTACAAAAATGAGTCCTAGAGGCTGAGGTTTTCAAAGCAGTACAAAGGAGTTAGCCATATATCTTCCACAATAGAAAAAAATCCTTTGCACTGACTTTAAAATCTCAACAAGGGAGCTTTAATGTCCATGAGGCAGAAAGGGCCTTAGTTATCTGATCGTCCCATGCAGACTACAAGGAAACTGAGTTTATCTGTCTTGAGAGAAGGGCTGAGAAGACCCGGCTGGGAACTGAATTTCTGGTTCTGAAGAATCTTGCCATTACAACCCTGAATTTAGCTTATCTTGTCTCAAGAGCTTTGTGGGGTCTAACTTATAAAAGGATAGCTCATAATCAAGAATTTTTATTTTCAAAATACTTGTCTTTGTATATTCTGTACAGTCTTTGAATTTACCAGACACCCAATAGCCTGAAGTAACTACAAAATGTAAAGGGGGGAAGGGCATCAGTGAGGAGCAAGGAGGTGCTGCCTTGGTGCCACCCAACTTCTGGGAAAGGTCCTGGGATTTCTGACAGGGTGCTGTCCCTGAACTTTGCTCAGGACTTCATTTCTGAATCAGTCTCCGGCTAGCAGGAGTTAAATTTGAAACTCTACTCACCTTTCTGTGCTGGAAGGGAGAAGGAGTTTTCTGCCTTCTCTCCTACATCCAGGATTTCCTTGCCTGCTACAAGGATGGAGAATTGGGTTTTGCTACTTTCCGTCCCTCAGAGATTCCTAGTTATTGGGAGGGAGAAATGGTGTGTTCTTGTTATACTCCTCTCCTCCAATTTTCTGTTCTTGGGACTTCCTCCATGAATAACTCCAGGACCTGCTTCAGCTACCTGTAGTTTCGACAAGCAGCTGCAGTGAGAAATGAACATTATTCTTGACTGTTTTCACTGCTGACCACAGGGTTCTGATTTCTGAAGAGCAGCTGTGAATCTGGCTTTTGTCCTGGTAATTTCACTCTGCTGTTGCATGGCAAAGCTATGGACAACAACAGAGGAACAGGAGTTGTCTGGCTTCAGACTCTGCACTCTTTAAAGTTGAAAGGTTATCTTTGCAACCGTAAGTGTTAGAAATTGAATGGATTATTTTAAATTCAGCAAAAATTATCAAGTTAAGCAATTTTTCCTTGCTTGCTAGGGAAAGTTTCCAACTCATCATGTGGAACAGTATTCTTCAAACAAGATATTGTATAGTCTGTATTGATACTTCGCCCATATTTATCAGTAATTTTACTCTACCTTTTTATGTACATGCACAATTAATATGAAACCAAATCAACTCAAACTACAAAAATACCCTTCTACATTTTAGATTTCTGAACCATAAACAGTTATCAACCCTCTCTATCCCCAACTGTGTTTAACAGAAGAATCCTTTTCCATTTATGTTATGAATGGCACATTCTCAGCTTGTCTATGGAAAAGGGAAGAAACTCAGGCCACCTAATTCTCCTTAGAAGGGTTCCTCTCATCCAGGATACTATGTATATAGAATTTCAAGTTCAAATCCTTAGACTATGCAGACCCTATTATACTTGATGATACATATGCATAAATGTATCGAGAGATGAGTCTACTCTGGTTTTTCATTAAATACCTGCTCAGAAATTACAGTGAGAAGTTGTTTGTTGCTACAGGACAATATGTTTGTTGCTACATATCACAATATGTTTGCTGTCTCAAAAGGACACTAAAATTTCACATTAGGTCCTAACAAGTCAGGAATTTCACCATCATACTCCCTTTCTACACCTGCGAAATCTTACTTTTTGAAAGTAGGGAGGTCTCCCAAACCTGTACCCCCGATGAAGTGTTTCTCTGACATTTAACATCTCCATTCATTCCAATTAGTTTGACAGCCCCTGACTTCAATCAGCTTGAGGGGTGAGAAGAACTCCCTTGTGGAGCTGAATTACTGAGGGGAGAGAAGCAAGAAAGGGCTAAGAAGGGAGAAGAATCTGCCCTTTGGGGGTGGGGGGTAATTATGGAGGTGAGCACTGGGAACAGATTTGTCTGGAGGGATATTGAGGGAGGGGGCAGAGTCAGAGTCTGGGAGTCTTGGGAAACGGGACCTTTTGAACTGGTCATAAAATGGGAATTATATTTTTTAAATTGTGAAGGAATTGTCTTTTTTCATCACAAAATGTCAATGTTTCTCTAGCTCTACTTTGAGGGTACTGGGCCATGGAAGAAGGGGGTCAAGGTTGAAGTTTTGCAGGTCTTGAAAGTGTGGGACTAGGTAGGGAGCGGGCAGAGAAGGGGTTTGGAGAGGTGACTAGGAAGGGGGCAGAGGCAGGGCGTCAGGAAGGAGTTTGGGACTGGTAAGAAGGGGGCAGAAGTGGGTTGGGGGAGTAGGGAAGGGTTACGGGGAGTGGCCAGAGGTGGGTTTGGGGGGAATAGGGAGGGAGCACAGGCAGAGGTAGTTTGGGGAGTAGGGAGAGGACAGAGGCAGGTTTGGGGGGCAGAGTTGGGTTTGGCGCCATAGGGAGAGAGCACAGGCAGGTATGGGGGAGTGGGGAGGAGATGGGGTAGCTGGAGGAGTAGGGAGAGGACAGAGGCAGGGTTGGGCGGAGTCAGGAAGGGTTTGGGGGCAGAGGTGGGTTTGGGGCAACAGGGAGGGGGCACGAGGCAGGTTTGGGGGAGTGGGGAGAAGACAGAGGCAGGAAGGGTTTGGGGGCAGAGGTGGGTTTGGGGCCATAGGGAGGGGGCACAGGCAGGTTTGGGGGGAGTGGGAAGGGGGCTGGTGAAGTGGGGAGGGGGCAGAGAGTTTGGGGAGAGGACTTAGGGGCAGAGGCGGGTCGGGGTGACCCGCAGGAGAGCTGGGCGATGCCTGGGGGCGGACAGAGGGGGGCACTGGCTCGGGGTTCCCTGCTGGGGAGGGGGGCCCGTTCCTCAGCGCCCCCTCCTCTCGACGTCACTTCCGAGGCCGGAGACAAAATGGCGTCCGGCTGGTGCCGGAGCCTGGGGCTGCTCCGGGCCACTTAGAACCGGGCCGGCCGCAGGGGGAGGTGGTGTCGGCGGCAGCGCAGGTAAGCGGGACCCGGCAGCGCTGCTCGCAGACGCCGCCGCTGCAGGGGGCTTTGGGTCCCGGGCTGGGAGCCTCGGCACGGGGCCGCTGGGGGCGCCCTACCCGGAGCTAGGGAGGGGCCCTGGGGGGAGCCCGGGGACGGCCCTGCGGTGGGAGGGGCGGTCAGGTGGGTCCCTTGCGGGAGCGCTGTGGAGCCGGCTCCATGGGAGGATGCCCCCTCGGCCGGGGCTGGTAGATGGGGGGCTCCGGGGGTGTGTCTCAGGCTCTGGGGTGAGGGCTGTGGGGAGTAAAGGACCCCCTCAGCCGTGAACCCCAACGTGTGCCTTGGAGGAGGCGAGCAGGGCTCCTGGGGACACCCCCTGCCGGGGTGCTGGAGCCTGGAGGAGAGGGTCAGGGGCAAAGCCCTGACAGGCGGGGGGACAGCGGATGGAGTATTGTGCACCGGGGGGCAACGAGGGGTGGGAATCCATTGGGGAAGTGGCGCTGCGTCCATCGAGGTATGTTTAAAAATGTCTTCGCGAAATAACGTTTTTGCAGTGGTCTGGGGCGTTCGGACAGATGTTGGAAATGCCCCAAACGAAGGATAAACGTCCCAAATGCAATGACATTCCCCCCGGCCAGTTTGAACTTGCAAAATAATAAACCTCATTCCAACACCCAATAATCTTTAGCCTACCCTCTCATCAGACGCCGTGACAATTGATGAGCCTTGAAGCTCACCTAAAGACCAAGAATCCAAGCTGTTTGACCAGGGACAAATGAATTCCAGAATTAAAGGCCTAGTTTGCTCATAAAAATTAGATCGACCTAGCTACGTTGGTCTGGGGTGTAAAAATCTTCATGCACTGTGCGATGGAGTTGGGTTGACCAGACCATCACTGTAGATGCTGCCAAATTGGTTGATGGAGTAATCCATCAATTTAGCTACCACCTTTTGGAGAGTTGTACACAGACTCCTCACTGAAAATACCCTGTAACAGGCTCTCTTGCACAAACCAGAGAGCTCTTGCTTGGAGGTGTAGCAGTATCGTTGGGGAGAGAGAGAGAGATGGTTCCTCAGGTAGCCTCAAACATGGAGTGCTGGTATGATGAAATGTTCTTTGCATAGCACTGTGTAATGAGCGGATAGACACATTCTGCACTAAAGTTTCCAAATGATCTTAAAAACTGTAGGGTGTACGGCAGGACTTTGATTTTGAGGGACAAAGAAAATGTCAAACCCTTTCATCAGTTGCAGATGGAAAAAAGCTGCTCTTGTCAGTCACTACCTGAGCATCCAAATGCAGCCAAAGATCTAATAACCTCCATATGCTGGATTTGAGTAATAAACAGAAGACATAGAAGTGAGGTTTTTACCCACGAAAGCTTATGCCCAAATAAATCTGTTAGTCTTTAGGGTGCCACCAGACTCCTTGTTGTTTTTGCAAATAGAGACTAACACGGCTACCCCCTGATACTAAACAGAAGACATGCTTCCCTCCTCTAGTGGAGCTGCTAACATCTCTCCAATTTGTTCTCCCAATTTACCAATAGTCTCTGTTGTCTTGATTCAGCTACCAACTCTCATATAACTCCTGTTCTTGGCTAGTCATCCCTCTCACTAGCTGAATCAGAGAAGATGGAGATGGTAGAGTAAGGTGCTGTCAATGTCCAAACGCCTCAATAACTCATACCAATGTCATCACACACCCTGCAAAGTCTAATGTTTACAGTCTTCTCATTAAGATTTTCAAACTGTCACTACCACTGGTGTAGCTCTACTAGTGCGAGCATTAGTATAGACTGACCTCCAGCAATTTAACTCCTGTGCTCTCTAGACTTGCTCTGTGCAGGTGAGATGACAGTGGTTAAAACACTGGTAGCGGGTCAACATTAGCACTCCCACTGTTGCTACTACAAATGGAATTGCTGACAGCAGTAGTGGGTGATTTTAAGAAACAAAAGACCCCTCAGATATGCTGAATAGTAGGTGTGACAAGATAGAACTCTGTGATGCCCTGCATGAAAGGCTTCAGGCTGATGGGTCAGCACTGTCCCCTGGGATCTCTTAGAATGAAAGGAATAGAGCAACCCTCTTGCTATCCTTGGCAGTTATTGTAGACATGTGGCCAAAACTTCAGGCTCAGCAACGTTGTAGGCAACTTTCATATGTAAAACAGCATACTTATTTTATCTTCCTCACGATTTTCTACAATGGATGTGTTAGTGGGGAGACGAAGGTTTAAGTCCCTGGGAACGGGACTGTAGATGTACAGTTGTGCAGATGTAGGGATTCTGAGAACAAAAAGCCTTTTTCCGGGGAGGCAGACGTGAAGGGGGTGCTGTTTATGTGTGTTCAGCTGAGCGTGACAGGTTTTCAGGAGTTGGACTGGACACCCTCATTCCTTCCCTTTTCAGGAGTAGGAACTGTCCAGGTAGAAACACTGACTTTTGTTTTAAAAACTTGTATATGTGAGTTTTTATTGTTTTAAAAAATAGGTAACACGTGACTCTGCATGTGTGCAATGTATGTATGCATCGCTGGAGTAAAAGAAACACACATGGACAAGTCTCCTTTATTTTGGCTTTCCATGTCATCCCTTGCCTAAAAATGGAAGTGAAAGATACAGCAGTAAATGAAAGTGAATCTAAGTGTCTCTCAGTAACTTCCTGGGCTGTTAAGATTTGAAATGGTTGATGAAGGGCTGATGCTCCTAGTCCCCACCCCTCTCCTTTGAAGTCAAGCATGTAATTCACGAACAGTGAAGATTTCATAGAACTCTGTGTAAGAGCAGTATTGTGTCCTGGGTTCTTTTGCCAACCTTACTTTCCCCAGCACTGTTTCACAGACTGTGATTGGGCTATTAGTGTCAAATCTCCACTGCAGAAATGGCTGCGTTTCAGTGCTATATGCAGGTACTTTCTGAAGCACTTAGGGATGAGAAGGAATGATATAGATGTAAAATATTAAATATTGTGCCTTTCTAGGTGTCTTTCTACTGCAGAGAGAAATGTGCAGGCTGCACACTGTAGCTGACAGGTGTAGTAAGATTGCTCTATACTCTTTCCAGGGGTATATAAACTCAGCTGGGAAAAAAAAGCATGCTGAAACTTCTACATCAGATCTTTTCTTCAAATTTAACTTAAATCTTTTTCTGTTTAGTTAGCATTGCTATCGTATTTACTGCTTTCAGATGTGTAATTTTAACACTCTTGTCTATTGTGCCCTTTTGGATCATGTTTTCATACGCTTTACTAAATGGTTTAGATACCAGTAACTTTTTTATTCTTGTGCATCAGTATATTTGAGATACGTTTAAGATATACATTAACATTTTACGTGTCACAGGTCCTATTCAAAACACTGACTTTCTATGCATCATGGAAATATTTGTATATGAACAAACAATTCTACGGTATTATCAATAGGTTTCCTTCTGAAACATTACTTGTATTGTGCCTATTGTTTCAATGCAGTACTCATAATTTTGGGTGCCCTACCTACAGCAGATTTTTTTGAGGCTGCTTTGAAGTGTGCCTTTGATGCACCTTAGGAGAGCCTTACAGCGCTGCTGCTTATTTCATGCTGTCTTTGTTCGATTGTTTAAAGGGCAGCCATCAACTCAAAATCTAATAATTAAAAAAAATAAGTTCCCATACCAATTTGTGGCTTAGAAATCATATTTTAGCTTATTTTTTTCTCTGTTGCTATATGAAAGACTCATAGAAGCTAAAGGGGGAGGAGAACTGATTAACTATATAAAGGAAAGAGTGACACTGATCATGAATAATGTGCTATAAAATCAATAATGTAAATATCTGAAAAATAGAAAAAATATTTGTTCTTTAATATGTCAGTTACACTTAAATGATGCTTGCAACAATGGTAGTCACGTTTTTTCAGGCTGAAGTGTAATTTTTAGGTTAACTTGTTCCTGTAGATTTCTTTTGAATTGTATCTTTAAAACAAAAATGGGCTTCATGAAGCAAAGAAAGTTTATCTATTTATTTATTTTGGGGGGTTATATTCTTTAGGGTTCTTTGTTTTGTGGTATTTAGAAAACATGGTTTAGAGGTTAGAGTAAGGGATTGGGAGCTGGGACTGCTGAAATCAGTTCTCATTCTGTTGTTGACTTTTCTGTGTGACACGGACAAATCACTGAACGTCTCTGTGCCTGAGTTTACCTGTCGTGGTCATAATACTTATCTCAGGGGTTTTGAGTATTAATTAATTGCTGATTATAAAGGTTTTTTTTTTTGAGATCCTCTGATGAAAGACTAGATGAGCACAAAGTGTTAACATTGTATTTGTGACATGTAAGCGTTAGCTTTTTGCTTCAGTTCTTTTCAGTTTTATTTTTCTCTATTGTGGCCGAGTATTGAATGTGTCCTAGTTTGTAGATTGCCACACAGGTAGGTAGTCAGGAAGAATGGGGAGCTTTAACCCACGATTACCTAGTTTGGGTAGTAATCAAACCCTAGTTTTAACACCGCTTTAAATGTGTGCAACTAGTCTGTTGTTTTCAGTTTTCAGATTCTTGCTTATGTAACTGTCCTCTGACCTGTCC